TTTTTGAGAAATCTCCATACAATTTCCCTTACTGGGGTTGTACTAATTTACATCCCTGCCAAGAGTGTATGGGTTCTCCTTTCTCTGCATCCTCACCAGCATCTGTATTTTATTTGTTTTTAATTATAGCCATTCTAACTGGCATAAGATAATATCTCATTGTGTTCTTGATTTGCATTTCCCTAATGATTAGTGATGTTGGACACTCTTTAAGCTATCTGTTGGCCACTTGTATGTCTTCTTTTGAGAAACGTATACTCATGTTTTTGTCCATCTTTTAATGGGATTATTTGGCACTTTTTTATTTTTATTTTTTCCTGTTGAGTTGATCAAGTTGCTTATATATGGTCTGAATATTAGTCCCTTGTCAGATGAGTAACTTGCAAATATTTGCTCCCATTCTGCAGGTTATCGCCTCATTTCATTGATTGTTTCCTTTGCTTTGCAAAGGCTTTTTAAATACAGTCTCATTTGTCTATTTTTTATTTTGTTGCCTATGTTTTTGAGGTTTTTAGCCATAAAATCTTTGCCAAGACCAATGTCCTGAAGACTTTTCCTTATGTTTTCTTCATAAAAAAAAAAGTGAGTACTTTTTCTAATGGGTCTTAAGTGTAAGACCCAAAACTATGAAAACACGTAGTAAGTACTTACTGTTAGTCTGATGGGTACTACTTTAGTGGTGACTAGATGCTTCTCTCTTGCTGTTTTTAGAACTTCCGTTTGCCATTGACTTCAGACAGTTTGCCTATAAAGTGCCACGGAGACCTTGTGCATTGTATCTTTTTGGGGAACGCTGGGCTGTATGTGGATGTTGAAATATCCTGCTAGTCTTAGGAAATATTCGTGTTTTATTTCATTAAATGGGCTTTCAAACTATTTTAACCTTTCTTTACCTTCAGGAGTACCAATAATTTGTATGTTTGGTTTCTTTATGCTGTCCCATATATCACAAAGACTTAGTTTTTTTTTCTTTATTTTTTGTCTGACTGGGTTATTTCAAAAGACCTGTCTTCAAGTTCTGTGGTTCTTTCTTCTGCTAGATTCAGTCTATTGCTGAAGTTTTTAAGTGTATTTTGAATTTTATTCAGGGAGTACTTCAGTGACAGAATTTATGTTTGGTTCTTTATTAAGATAGCTATCTCTTTCATAAACTTCTCATTCATATTCTGAATTGTTTATCTGATTCCTGCATATTTTATTTTCAAAGTCTCTTTATCTCATTAAGCTTCTTTAATATCATAATTATGAATTCCGTTTTCATAGTTTTGCTAATATATCTGCAGTTTGGATCTGTTGCTGCGGAATTATTGTGTTCCCTTGAAAGTGTCATATTTCTTTGCTTTATCATGTTTCTGGTGTCCTTATGGTGTTATCTACATATCTGAGGTAATAGTCATTTCTTACAATTTTTTGAATTTACTTTCACAAGGAAGGACTTTTTCCTGAGTATGTATCAATGGTTTCAGTTGGTTGGAACCCTTTGGCTTTGATTCTCTGTGCATGAAGTAGTGTAATCTCTGTGTGATTCACTTGACTATAAACAGCATTGGTGGTATCTGTGATTTCCTCACTGGTTTAGGGTGCAGGTACTAGTGGAGGGTATGGTGAAATTTTGCTGATGACAGGGATGTCAGGTGCACCAATCTTTAGGTCATGGTCCTGGTGGTGGTAGCAGAGTGCTAATATGCCTGTTCTTGGGCTCCCAGGGCAGCATACACCAGAACCAGTGTTACCAGGACCCGGCAGTCCTGTTCTTGGTCCCCCAAGTGGCTGCTCTGATGCCAGCAATGGCAGTCACAGGCCATGTAGGTGAGTGGGTTCTCAGGTCCCTGAGCAGCCAATGTGGTGTTGGCAATGGCAGTAGCAGTGGCAGTACAACCCTCTGGGTCCCAAGCAATGCAATGCTAGTGTTGCCAGTGGCTGCAATGCTGGGTTGCCACGCATAGTCCCAGAAACTCAGCTCTCAGGCCTACCTACTTTTGATGGCAGCCGCATCACAGCACCATACAGAGTAGGTGAGGAACCCTCTCCTTCTCTTGTGTATTGTATCAACGTTAATTTTCAGGTTTCAAGAACTACTTGTGAATATATAAAATATTAACATTAGCAGAAGCTGTGTGAAAGGTTTACAGAACTCTTATTTTTTGCAACTTTTCTGTAAGTCTAAATTTAAAAGAGAGGAAATAGCTTACTTCTGAATATCCTTATGAAATACTTTGCATTTTGTATTCCACAAGAGCTATGGGTATTCCACAACAGATACAGAGTTTCATATAATTAAATAGATTGTTCTTTCTTTTTTCTTTTTTTTGAGACGGAGTTTCGCTCTTGTTACACAGGCTGGAGTGCAATGAGGCGATCTCGGCTCACCACAACCTCCGCCTCCTGGGTTCAGGCAATTCTCCTGCCTTAGCCTCCTGAGTAGCTGGGATTACAGGCACGCGCCACCATGCCCAGCTAATTTTTTGTGTTTTTAGTAGAGACGGGGTTTCACCATGTTGACCAGGATGGTCTTGATCTGTTGACCTCATGATCCACCCGCCTCGGCCTCCCAAAGTGCTGGGATTACAGGCTTGAGCCACCGCTCCTGGCCAGATTGTTCTTTCTTGATGTTACTAACTGGGAAGGGTAAAGTAAAGCAAAACTAGCCAACAGAATGGATCTTCAATAATTTTGAATCTTTCTTCTATGGTATCGTCCTTCTCCACCAACTCTGCTCTTAGGGACATAGATTGAATTTCACAAGGACCTGGGAATCTCAAGAACGAGAATAATGTATCCACAGCAATTATCTTCCAGCAATTTATATACTTCTGGGAAAGGTGATGAAATACAAGAAAACAGGCTTTAAAAGCTGTCGTTTTTCCGCTGCGATCATAAGACTTTTACAACATGCAAATGGCTCATATTACACGTCTGAATTTCCATCTATCTTCTTGTTACTCTCAAAACACTGAAGAAAAAGCAAACATCAGAAACAAAGGAGAGAGAGATTTTTCTTTCTTAAATTTCTCCCGGAGTTTAGCAGTGTCTTGACCCCTAAAAGCCCAGTGGCTATTTGATTCAGAATGCAATATATTTTTGCAATTCTCTTTCCTTCTGGGGCTTCTATTTCTTATTACTTATTTTAGGGCTAAATTGCTTGCCCTTGACAATTTTTAGTACCAGAGTTATTGCAGAATGTGTTACAAAATTATTTCATTCTGAACAATACTCAAAGCGAGCTTTAGTGTTCCTACTCTTCAAACTATGTTTCTTAAAATAGCTTATTAAAAACATCAAATAATATATTTTCTTACCCTCAAACTAATTAGGTGAGTCCCTGGTCAATATCCATTCACACAGCTTCTACTGATGTTAAATATTGAACTACAGATTCAATTTCAGCTTACCAGCTTTCTAACGAAGAACATTTAAAAAATTTTTAACTATTGTTTTTTAAATTTCTTTCTTTTAACAACAAAATTGTTGTGATATATCCATTTTTGTCATACTTGGCTTCTTTTTTTAAATCATTACTCTCACAAAAACTATGCTAGGGAATTTCTAGCTAATGTCAATTATTCTGTGTGTCTGAGTAAAAAAAAAAGAACATTGTGTGTGTGTGTGTGTGTGTGTCTGAGTAAAGAAAGAATATATATCTTCAAAGATGAGCAAAACTCAGGAGTGAACAGATAATCTCTTGCCTCACACAGTTTTAAATCTATTCTCTAGGTTCTGCACCATAAGAAAATACTATTCTAATCTTTTCAACAAATAGTGTAGGAATAATTTGTGAACTATACAGAAGAAAGAAATGAACTGCAATATGTACTCATACCTCATACACAAATTAACTCATAGTGGACCACAAACCTAAATATGAAATTTAAAATTATAATATTGTTAGAAGAAAACAAAAACACAAAAATTATTTACAATCTTGGGTTAGGTAAAGAGCTCTTAGATATAACACAAAAAGCATGATTTAAAAAATATAAATAATAAAGTGAGCTTTATCATAATTAAACACCTTTTTTTTACCTGTGAAAGATTCTGTCAATAGAAGGAAAAAACAAGCTACAAGCTACAAATAAACAGGTTTGCTAATCTCATATTTGGCAAAAGTTATTTATCCAGAATATTTATAAAGAACTCTAAAACTTAATGATAAAAGTAATACTTATAATGAGCAATTTAAATGTTTGTTACACTTTACTAAAAAGATAGTGCAAATAGGCAGAAAACGTTGCTTGACATCATTAGCCATTAGCAAAATGTTAAACCACAGTGAGTTAGAACTACACATATATTAGAAAATATGAAATTAATTTTGTAAACAAATCTGAGATTACTAACTACTGGTAAGAGTGCAAAGGAACTGTAACTCTCATATATTTTTGGTGGAAGTACAAATACTACAGCCACTCTAGAAAACAGGTTAGCACTTTTTTTTCTAAACATAAACATGCAGTTCATATGACCTGGTAATCTCACTCCTAGATATTTACTTACCAGAAAGAAACATATATGCTTACCTAAAATTCTGTAGACAAATGTGTATAACAAAGTTATTCATAATTACAAATGGGAAAACATCAAAAGTCCATCAATGGATAAATAAGCCCTGTGGTATGCCCATACAATGGAATGCAACTCAGCAGTTAAGAATCAACTGATACACCCAGTAACTTAAGTCAAGAAGGAGCCAGACTCAAAAAGTTAAATATTGTATGATTCCATTTATATAACATTCTAGAAAAGGCAAAGAAATAAGGATGAAGAAGACACCACTGGCTTTAAGGGAACAGGTGTAGAGATGGTTTCAATAAAATAGGGCAACACAGGGAATTTTTGTGGGTGAGAACTCTATTCTGTAACCTGCCTATGATAGTGGTTACACATCTCTATGCATTTGGTACAACTCTATATGTAAGCTCTATCTGAATCTTAAAACAAATTAAAGCAACAACATTCACAATAAAATGGCTTAAAACAACACCAATTTTATTAGGTCTCACCTGGATGTGGATCAGGTATTTGGGCGGGGATTTGCTGGGTACATTTTCTGCTCTTCTTGTCATTGATATAAACTGTCTGGTCTCAGCTGGAGGATCAGCTTGCCTTAAGTGTTCAAAATGATTTCATTCATGTGCCTAGTGCCTTGGTGAAGAAGCCTGGAAATTTGGACCCAGCTGGGACTGTTGACCAGAGTTCTTACATGTGGCTCCTCCAGTGTAGCTTCTCAGGGGTTTCTAACAGCAGCCCGCTGTGTTTTAAGAGACAGGGTAAAAGCTGTGAGGATTCTTACAACCCCAACACTTCTTTAATCAGACACAGTCATCCTTCTAGTGACAGTATTTACATTCTTCCAATATGTAAAACATAAACACCCTTTCCTGAGGACCCCAACTTTTTCATCCCACTATAGCATTGTCTTGAATTCTAGAATTATGTCAACTAAATTAGATGCAAGTGCAAATGGGGTTCCCAAAGGGTGGATCTTGATTATGATTCCTCTTGGTCAAAAGACTTGTAAATTTAAGAACAAGTTATCTATCCCACAAGAAGTCAAACTAGAAAAGTGATACAGAATAGGAAAACTGCAATAGAGATAACATTCAAAAGGAAAGGGGTGATGGGAAGTACATTGTAATCACTGGTTCAGAGGAATTCTGCTGGAAAAGTATAGCCTTCCAGTTATGTAATTAAGGCCCCAGTCCTGCTCCCAAAAAAAATGTATGTCTTGACTTCACCATTTGGGTTCTTGTTTCTGCCTTCTGGGTCATCTTTCCTTTGCTGTAAAAATGAGCCATGTTTGCTACTAAGTGGCCTTTTCATACCACTTCCTGCTCATAGATATGTGGAAACCTTGCAAGCTCTTTTCATTTTGAACTGTCCCTGCCCATTTCAAATGAAGCCAATGGTGCTTCTACTAATCTAATTCTCTTAATATGTTTATGGGCTTCCTATGATTCTCTACTGGGCTGGGAATCAAGATTCTTTGAGATAAAGCTCTTATGATTCCTAAAGACCCTTTAATCTAATTGAGAATATTTATGAGGCATATTTTAACATTTTTGAAGTATACACATGGGACTGTAGCCATTTCCTTGAGAAGATCTTTACCTAGAGCTCATAAAAAAGTGAAGTGAAATTTTCAAGAATTTACCTGAAAATATTCTTAGCCAAATGCAACACTTCATTAATTGCATTTTCTATTTTCTACTTTACTGAAATGGTTTGCCAAGCTTTCTGTCCCACAGTGTAGAGGTAGATTTTCTTTTCTCTCCTCTAATAAGAATTTCCTTTGCATTCCTTTAGCCATCACAACAATCTCTTCAAATCCTTGCAAGCTTCTTCTTGCTACCTGCCCCCAGAGTCAAGGGAACATGTTTTAAGTTTTCGTCTTAGAGCAGCACCCACTTCCAGTTACCTAGTTCTATTCCAGTTACCTAGTTCTATTCCAATTACCTAGTTCTATTCCAATTACCTAGTTCTATTCCAATTACCTAGTTCTATTCCAGTTGTTGCTGCATAGCAAACTATCACAAAACTTTGTGGTTTATAAAACAAACAAACAAACAAAAAAACCATCTTATTATATGCCATGAAATTGTAAGCTAGAGATCTGGGCAGGGCTTTGCTGAGACTTTTCCACACAGTTTGAGCAGAAGTTGCTCAGTGGCATTCAGCTGTATATGGGCATAGTCCCTGAGAGAAAATAATCTGCCACCATAAAGAGACCTTGCCTATGAGATGATCTCACTTGTGTTAGCAGCATATTATGTGTCATGCTGAGTTATTTACACAGCAAATGGTCCGAATGAAGATCAATGAGATCACAATTGTTGTTCTTGTCCTGCAACACAGCATTGGTAAAGATGCTTAATTTACCCCATGTGTTCTCATCATTTCAAATACTTTTTTTTGTCATAAAAGCATTCAAGTATAAATAGCAAGCTAATTTTACAAGAAAAGAAACATCAATAGATCCAGAACAGGTCAAAACCCATAATGTGGAAATGAAATAACCATACTTAAGTATTTCTAAAAGTTTTAGCGCAACATTATGCTAAACCTACTCTAGGATTTACATTCAATAAAATATAAATTTCCTCAAGCTTACATACTCAAATAGAAGATAATATTCACAGTTTGCCAAATATTTGTATGCAATGCAAAAACACACCAAAATTTTGAAACTTTTTTGCCTATGATATCCTATGTTCAAATATTTTTAAATATGTATGCATAATCCCAAATACCTGTAAGCATAGAAATATTAAAATGAGTGGTGTTCTCTACCCAAGAAGAAAATATTTAATGATTGATTACATTTCTCTTTTAATTCTGATTTTAATAGGTTGTATATGTACTATATAGGTTAGAGTGAATACTAGATTTTAAAATTTTATTTGTTGCAGAAGAGGCAAACACTTCATCTGTTGCTGTCAAGAGCTATCCTAAATGAGGCAGCAATATTAAATGGTAGTTTCTAAAAGAAGTTAATTCCTCTTTAGCTTTATAGTATTCTTAGCCTCCACAGATCTTGGCCAATCTCCAAATCAATACAACACTAGTTAAGATGCCAGGCGTGGTGGCTCATGCCTGTAATCCCATCACTTTGGGAGGCTGAGGCAGGGGGATCATGAGGTTGGGAGATAGAGACCATCCTGGCCATGGTGAAACCCCCTCTCTACTAAAATACAAAAAAAGTAGCTGGACGTGGTGGCACGCACCTGTAGTCCCAGCTACTCAGGAGGCTGAGGCAGGAGAATTGTTTGAATCTGGGTGATGAAGGTTGCAGTGAGCCAACATAGTGCCATTGCACTCCAGCCTGGCAAAAAAGCAAGACTCCATCTCAAAAAAAAAGAAAAAAAGAAAAAAAAACTAGTTAAGAAACATCTAGATTGCTCAGAAGGAAAAAAATGCAATTTAATTTTTTCTTTGACATATAACATTTAATTAAAGTTCTTCCAAAGTGGAACATTTTCTCTTTCGTTTTTAAACTATCACATTTCATAGTTAGTGATATGCCATATAAGCCGTCATGAATTAAAAATTCCCAAAAGACAATAGGTGGTTTAAATTTCTGAAAATTTAAATATCAGTTAAAATGTAAAAATATGAAAACAAATATGAGTGTTGGCTGGGCACAGTGGCTCATGCTTGTAATCCCAGCACTTTGGGAGGGTGAGGCGGGCGGATCAGATGCGGTCAGGAGTTTGAGACCAGCCTGGCCAACACGGAGAAAACCTGTCTCTACTAAAAATACAAAAATTAGCCAGACACCGTGGCGGGAGCATATAATCCCAGGTGTTCAGAGCCGAGGCATGAAAATTACTTGAATCAAGCAGGCAGAGGTCTCAGTGAGTCGAGATTGCACCACTGCACTCCAGCCTGGGAGACAGAGCAAGACTGTCTCAAAAATAAAAAGTCTTCGCATTCAGAACAATTGGAAAACAATTATTGGAATACTTTTATTTACATGTTCAGTTTTCTAACTTAGGACAAATGTAAAATACAAGAAAGTTTTCTGCCAATAATATCTATTATTTTGTTCTTATTTACTAAACCATACCTTTTATCAAATGGAAGCTACTAAATGTAAGTAACTCATTAAAATTGTGAAGGGAAGTGTGAGCTTTAAAATAGATGAAATTTTAAAATATGTATTTATATAACTAAAAATATACATATCTTTAAACTGGAAACACTTGAGGTAAACAAACTTGATTCACATAATTTGTTTACTTTGGTAAAAAATTTGATCTTACACAGGCCCCAAATAAATCTTTTTTTCTTTGTTAGTTCTGTAACACTAGTCCCAAGTTACATATGATACAAAAAAAAATCTGATTAGTGAGAAGTAAATAGATAAAATCTGACAGTGTCAGATACTGCTATCATGAAAAGTACTTGTATGCACGATGAAGCTGTTAGGCTCTTACAAGCTGCAGTATGATCTTGAAATTTTACATACAGGGCAAGTTTTGCTCATTATTTTTTCAATTCCAGATTATTTTTAAAGCATCTAGTTTTATGCCTGAAAGTTAGTATCATTTGATTAATAGTAACTACTGTTTTTATCTTTTATGATGATTTTGGATTCCCACGGGTTTTATGTATAATACATATATACACAGATGATGGTTTATCTATGTACATATACATATACATCATTACATATAAAACAGTCACTTCCAAAAATACAGCTCTGAAACTATATCACCTTGTATATATAATTCTCTCAATAAGACCCTTCATGTTTCCATAAACAAAGGACTTCTGTGTCCTTAAATACACCGTAAAACCTTGTAGAAACTTATGCTAAGTGAAAGAAGCCAGACACCAAAAGTCACATATAGTGTGATTCTCTTTATTTGAAATATCCTGAGTAGGCAGATCTATGGAGACAGAAAGCAGATGAATGGCTGCCAGCAACTACAGGAAGAGGAAAGAAGGCCACTAAATGGGTGTGGGGTTTCCTTTAGGGGTGATAACAATGATGTGAAACTGGATAGTGGTGGCGATGGCTGTATGATGCTCTTAATGTACAAATGTCACTGATGATAAATGTTACATGTATTTGACCAAAATGTTAAAAACACACATATAATAAAATATAATAGAGTTTACATCAGACATTCAAGAAAACACACCAGTTGGAATATCCTCAAAAATTATTATTCTATGACATTATTATCCACCATAAAATTATGAAGAATCTCTCAACTTTTCTCAAAAACTTTTCTTCTCATGACTGGGAAGAAATTCTTAGAATCTGATTTGAAGAGCATGTGTAGTGTTGATTGACAATAGAATGCCACAAAGACAAAATTATAGTTCATTTTCCCAGAGACTTTCATGTTTTAGGACACAAGTCATATGTTTCAGTTGTAGAATGATTGTTTAGTGGAAGTCCAAAAAATAATAATAATCAGATGCCCACATATTAAATATACAAAATGAGGCCAGGCATGGTGGCTCATGCCTGTAATCCCAGCACTTTGGGAGGCCAAAGTGGGCAGATCACCTGAGGTCAGGAGTTCCAGACCAGCCTGGCCAACATGGTGAGATCCCATCTCTACTTTAAAAATGCAAAAATTAGCGAAGTGTGATGGTGTGCACCTGTAATCCCAGATACTCGGGAGTCTGAGGCAGGAGAATCCTTTGAACCAGGGAGGTGGAGGTTAGTGAGCCAAGTTAGGTGCCACTGCATTCCAGCCTCTACAACAGAGCAAGACTCCATCTCAAAAATAAATA